TCATAGCCACCTCCTCAAAGCAAAACATTCTATAAATTCCAATAGTTATACCCTATTTGCATTTAGTAGGAATGTTTCTTGTAGTTAAAACCCAGAGAATGTTTACCTTCCTTCATTTTCTACAAACCAAGACTAGTCACGATTGTTACGTATGTGAACATGCCAGCTTTAACTAAACTCTTTGTTGAGCATCTATGTGCCAGGCACAAAGAACCATGGGCATGTTGTCCAGTTGTATAGGTCCCGACAGGGCTTGTGGCTTTCAGTTCTATCTCTTGGCCTTGGGCTTCGGGATCATAATCTGAAGTCAAGATGAATGATCTCATTTGTATAATACTTCGTACACAACAGATTATCTGTCTCCCTCAACTGTTTCTTAGTACTAAACCTTTTTAAATAAGATTTCCTTTTTAGTGTACACCTTTCTAGATTTGTTTGTTTGTTTGTTTGGGGGTGAGAAGGAAACATCCTTCTGTGGCCACCACTTTACTAGATTTGGAAACTGATACACCTTACCTTCTGAATCGTTGTGACTGGTGGCCATCTAGGGGTTCAATGACAAAAAAAGACAATATAGTTAATGTATCTTTCCTGAGATTGCTTAGAAAATGACCATATACTATTTACAGCAAGGAGTACAAGGTTTTACTCTAAATTTTAAAAATCAAGTGACTACCAACCTCAATGAACCTTTAGAGGTCTCACAATTTGAATTCCAATGAAATTGTTCCTTATTTATTTAACAATGAGTATTTTTATAGCAAAGTATCTTTAGCAAAATCTTCGTAACTTTAGATTCTTTCTTTGGGAAGGCAGGTAAGAACTGAACTTGCTATGATTTAAAAATTATGTAACTTCCCCCTTTAAATTTGTTTCATATTAAACAAAAATACTTGGTCCTCACTTTTTGGGAACCTCCTCAAAAGACACAAACTATTATGTGTTCTTTTGTATACCAGACCAAATGGCAACCTTATATTGGAAAAGCAAGCTACTGCTAAATAATACTTTCCAATTTTGGTGAGATCAGCTTTAAATGATCCTAAACTGGGAGTTACGACACTTGAGTGACAAAGCCCATTAAAACAAAAAATGTATCTCTCTTTAAAACACTACATAGTTAAAAACATTGAAAACAAAATTAAATTTGCACAGTTATCACTTTGATGTGATATATATGGCAAGGTAAGACTGTAAATAAACTGTAGTATAGAATTTAACTTTATCTTTATGAAGTATTCTGAAATCGAAGACGTTAATACATTCATCAGGCACATCCAATAGAAGACTTTTACAATGGTTTACATTTCCTTTTTATTTATTCCTTGAAACTGCCCGTATTGCAGGTTTTTCATGGATGAAATATGGAACTGAGCAGATTCTTTTTTTCTACAAAATTATGCTATAAACTTGCTCAATTTTCTATCTTATTGCTAATTAACCTTACAGGCGCACAGTTTGTAAAATAAACCCCTTAAGGACTGAATGCTTAGAGCATGCCGCAAGGTACAAGAAATAAGCTAAAAATGAGCATATAAACCTACATCTGGACCAACACAGTACTGAATGCTGGCAAACATTTACCACGACACAGGGGAAAATTAATAAAAGGAGATACAGTTCAGTCCTGAAAGGGTTAAGTAGAAACCCTAATATATTATTGTTTCTAACCATCCATCCCACATTACAGTGCTTGAAAACAAAGTCAAAAGTCTGGCACAGAAAATTACACACATTTGTTCAGTACTCATCAGAAACACAGCTGCTTTTGAAATCAAAGTAGATAACTTGGTTAATAATTGAATAGCATTCTGTTTCAAAAAGGAACCCTCCCCACCCCAGAGAATTTCTGGTTAACATGACTAGTTAGGTTAGTTCTCAAAAATGGCATTGGAAATTTTCTGTGAGGCTTGCAGTAAGAGAAAACCGCAATAACTTGGATTTGAAGCACAGATGGTACCAGTTTCCTTAAAAACAAAAAAAAAACTGACCAGTTGTGATCGAAAATAAGTCTGTGCAGTAAGAGTGACACATATTTCACTAATTAATTCACGTATGAGGGTGCCTTTAGTTGCCACGGTTTAAGAGAAGTCAGCAGCAGGTTAAATATCATAATAGTGTTCAACTCTGAAATCATTCAAAATATAAAGGGCATTTCTACATGTAAAGCCTTTAGCTTGCCTTCCCAATCTATGTGATAAATTCAACACAACGAATAACAATGTATTGGATCAGAGGCTCAGCTTCTATGCATATGTTTTAGAAACTGCACAGAATCATGAGAGCTTCCAAAACAGAATTTTAAAAAAATCAAACATACTAAAACTGAAGCATTCATTCACCATTCTAAGAAGAGAGTCTCTATGAGGATACATGACCAGCATCTTTAATAATGCCATCATCGGGGGAGGGACATATTCTACTATAATTGGAGAACAAGGTTCCTATAAATTATATACTAAAAATGATTCACAAATCCATGAAAAAGATTTTTTTAAAGCAGCTGACAAAAGAACTACTGATAAACAACAAGCTACAACAGACACTCTTTAGTCTGTGGTGTGAGCATGGCATACAATACGTGGGGAAAATGCCTGTGTAAGCACATTCTTGAAGTTTTCAAAAAAAAAAAAAAACAGGAAAAGCATTTATAGTCTAATATTTCAATTATCTTATTAAAAGAAACAAAGAACCAAAGTAAGACATGAACATTCAAAAAGCAAAAGTTCACTTTTATAAAGCCATGAGCTTGAAAAATTATTTTGAGTTACAAAGCTGGGTAAGGAATAGTTTGTTCTTCAAAAGCATCTCATTTGTTATCGGTTAATTTAACATGATTTCTTAACTAAATACCAAACCTAGGAAGTGGAGGAAACTTGTGGCCCGTTAAAAGTAGAGCAGCACTAAAAACATTTCCACACTCTGAACAAAAGAACTGTGTAATGACTTCTGCCATGACTCAACAGAGAGAATAAATACTACTCAGAAACAAGCACATTTGCAAGTAAGGGCCAGTGAATAGTTCAGGACAAAGAAAGATAAGGCCACAATGATTTCTGCCCTTGATCACTGAAGCAGGTTTAAGGTGTGAGGCAGGATTAGTTTGTAACAGAGAAGTGAGCGACTGGAGCAGATTTGAAGAGAAAAGGCTATAACACAGTAAAATGCAGCCTGGGGGTGATTAAAAAGGCTTGCAGTAAGAGAAAACCGCAATAACTTGGATTTAATCACCTAACATGCTTTACAAATTACTTTCCCCTTGAGAACTGAGGAAAAGGAGATTTAAAGATGTTAGGAAGAGTATTTACAGTGGCATAGTCTGAGCAAAACACTGAGCGATGAAGACAGCAAAGCCGGGGGAAAAATGCTACTAATAATGATTTCCAAAAAGTCTATTGATGGAAACTTTTTCAAAATAGCCCTGGACACCAGAAAGACAATGTTCTATATGGAAATGCTATAGGAAGTTACAGTTTTGTATTCATAAGGTACTGTGGCTCCTGTTTTATGGGGCAGTAAAAGCTTACCACTATCTAGAGGTAGTTTTTACTCTAAGAAGGATGATTGTATTACTAGACTGTGTCCTATAACATCCACATGTGGTTCTTGTACTAAATGTAGCCCAATGAGTCTGCTGCAATTTCCAAGAAACTGAACAAAGGCATAACCAAAGTGCAGGAACGAAAGTAATGTAAAACTGGTGAGATTAGCATGCAAGGCCAACACACAACCCTGAATGCAACCAAATCTCAAATGAAAGGAAATGTTTTCTGAGTAGGAAACATTTGTGGAGATGCTCAGTACTGGAGAAAACAAAAAAAGGCAGAGAAAGAAATGGCAACATAAGTTACATTTGCATTTTTATAACCTTACAACTGTTTCTGTCTTCCAGCTATTTTAGTTGATCATCTAATAAAAGCATCTTATGTTTTAAGATTACAATGATATTCTGGCCTAGGCTACCAAAAAATAAAAAATAAAAAAAAATAAAGATAAGAAAACATGCTTTTGCTGAGATTTTCCCCATTCTACCCTTAGGGCACCATCTACCAACTGGTAGCCAATACTTCTCATGATATTTTTTTGTCATTTGCCAACAAGGCAGAAAACACTCTGCTGAATGAAATCACTGGGAACATTCCAAGTTCAAAATAAATTGTTTAACTTACACATAATACAAGTTATGTACAAATTAGGAAGGGGTAGAAAACCTGAAGAAATCCTGGAACACACAGTTGTGTTTACATAAAGGAAAAGGGGAGAGAACACTTCAAACACCAACATGTTCTGCGCCATTTACTCACTAATGACTAAATGGCCACACTGAATTCCATGTAAATGTTAGAACCTCTTGGATAACCACTATAAATACATTTAAAAAAAAAGGTAAACACAGAAATAACTACCAACAGTGTCTGAGAATAGAGGCTAAGTTAACATACATTGCATGTATTGCAGGCAAGGCAGAGGCATTTTTTTTTAAAGCTTTTGCACAGACTTCATATAATCTTAAAAAAAAATATGCAGGCCTTTACAAGATTTGACTTGCTGAAATCAAAACAATTTCGACTCATGAAAAGTCATTAAGACTTCAGCTTACAAAAAAAATAGTTCCAGCCTTAGACCAAAAATACCTGGAAGAGTATGGTCATTAGATTAAACAAGCATGGTCAGGCTTGGAACCTGAATGTACTTTAGAGCAAAAGCTCAAAGGTGGGTAGGGAAGAGAACAACCTATTTGGTAACAAGGTGTACTATATACCATGATATTAAAAAAGGTATGGTGAAAATGTACCTTTTACTAAAGCTTATACAAGTTCCTTGGTCCATAAAAACTATGTTAGATTTGTGTCTTCTAGTTTGCTCAACTTTTATTCCAGCCACATATTTATTTCTCGCCCATTTGAAAAAAAAAAAGAACAATAACCAACCAAACAAAAAAACAGCTGAAAAACTTGATTTCCAATAGTTTTTAAATTTTGATTTTTTGTGTGTGTTTGTTTTACTGTGGCTTCTGCATTTCAAATCAGCACTTGCAGGTAACGGATTTTGAATAGTATCACCTGGTATGAAAAGTTTTCCCAAGAAACCACAAAAGATTGTTCATTTATTTTTCCTCTCTTTTGTCAACTTTTTGCCGCACTCAAGTCAGTTTAAGTCCTAGCAAAAAGACGGTAGTTAGGACACCACTGTTGCTGTAGATGATGCGACACTGGTGGAATTTGTGCTGGCGTCTGTGTAGCTTCCCGCGCTGTTTGTGTTTGATTCGTTAGGGGGCACTTGGCTTGAATTGGCTCGAAGGATTGCTCCGGCTGCACTGCAATGTGGCCGCGGCCCTGGTTCTGGTGTGTAGGTAAAGGTAAGGCTGGTGGAATAAATGATTCCATCATTACGGACCAAAGTTACTGGAACCTGGACTGGCTGCCGGACCCATCTCCAACCTTCTCGGAATGCAGAAATGTCTGGGACGACACAGAGCATACTCTCTCCACATCTGAGAAGGAAAGAGAAATCCCTTAAAAGCACTTTAAAAAGCAAAGCACATTTTAGAAATGAGACTTATTTTTTTTTATTTCAGCATATTATGGGGGTACAGATGTTTAGGTTACGTATGTTGCCCTTGCCCCCCTCCCCAAGTCCGAGTTTCAAATATGTCCATCCTTCGGGTGGTGCGCATTGCACTCTTTGTGTATGCATATGCCCGTCCCCTCCTCCCTCCTCCCTCCTCCCCCCTCCCCCCTTCCCCCTGCCCAACATCCAATAGATGTTATTCTTATATGTGCACTTATGTGTTGATCAGTTAATACCAATTCGATGGTGAGTACATGTGGTGTTTGTCTTTCCATTCTTGGGATACTTCACTTAGTAGAATGCGACTTAAAATAAGGTTTAATACATTAGAATCGATGTCAGGAAAGAATCTCGGGTACCCATACCCCTCACAACCTTTGGATGATGTAAAAAGTTTTATCAAGTACCTGTACATAGTTTCAGCTTCTACATCCCCAAACCACACTCGTAAATTTGGAGTGAAATTCTGTCCTGTGAGTTCAAGCATTGCTACGTCCCCACCGCCATTCAACTGCAATTCATAGAAAAATCACAACACTGAGAAAACTCTTCCTTTTTCATTAAAGTACACAAATTAGATTCCCATTCAACTTTCATTTGTTAAAAAATGGGTAATTAAAATGTTCCTTTTAAATAGCATGGTTACAAAGCTAGCTAAAAACATTTTAAGATAACATACAAGTTGATTTATATTAAAATTTTCTTTCACATAAGGATGTTCTCCTATTTTTATATTTTATCAACAAATGATGTATAACAGAATCAAAATTCTCCTGAAACAAAATCAGGCCAACTCACAGCTGAGAGCAGTTGCAAAGAGCTACAAGCCAACCGTGACTAAGCGGTCTCACCTGAAGACTCTCTACGACAGGCACAGGGGTGACGGGGGCCAGGACAGGGCCCATCCCCTCGTAAAACGTATACTCTGCCTTATCTGTGCTAATGATTGTCCAGGAAGCGCCATCATTTATCATCTCTTTATTTGGTTCTTTCGGGCATGGAGTGGCCTTATGAAGAAAGAATGTTTAGAAACTGAGTTTTATATACTTCGTAATACAAAAGAATTTTACCAAAGTAACAGACTAGAGTTAACAAGGACAAAATTTAGTAAAAATTTATCAACTTCCTAAAGCATGGTGCTTTGCCAATCCCTAAATAAACACAAACAGAATATTAATATGGAAACTCCATAGACAGTTTTAGTTATAATACAAAATATTTCAGTGACATATTAAGCAATAATACCGTATCAGAATAACCATTAAGAGTACACCAGTACAGATACAGTTTCATTAATACGTAAACGGCTGTTTAAAACTCTTTAGAAATCCCTGAGAAAGAGAATGGGAGTCCCTAGAAGATATCCACTTTCAGAGAGAGGCAACCGCGATCTGAACTGGCAAGTCCCTACCTCTACTGCGACACACCTAGACTAGGGACCTGGCACGCTCCTCAGAGCTGTGTGTGGCCACTACTCTGGAGCGGGAGTTTACGAAGGAGTTTCACATGAAACTGTAGCTATCCTATTAAATCACCTGCCCATGTCATAAATGTCGTCATAAAAGTCTTCTCAGTAAGTGTAATTAAAAATTAGCTTTTGAAGCACATCATCACTATCTTAGGAGACCCCAACATAAAGCTGAAGAGATTTTGAACCCTCCCCTTAGAAAAATGCTTCATCTGTGCACAGTAAACAGTGTCTGCGCACAGTTTCAGAGGATTCAGTGAACATCAAAAATCTATTGTTGAATATTCTGAGGGGCTCTTGTTCCCCAGATTAAGAACTCTGGAACTAGATGCTACCTGTTTCTCTGAGAACATTTTCCTAGTTTTCAGAGTTCTCTGGTGTAGGATTGCCACCATGTCTGAGGACATATGTGTTAGAGACCCTTGGACCTGAAATAAATATTTGATACAGCCACATGTATTTAGACACAATTAACAGCAAATGAGAATTGCATGTTTCTGTAAGCTGCTAACCTAATCGTTTACACATTTTAGATTTCACCAGTAATGTAAAAACATACCTGAAATTGAATTATTCTCTCTTGAGAAAGGCACAAGTACATTCTTTCTGTATCCTTAAGGTAAAATGCACATTTATGGAGTTGTGACACAGGGTCGTCTGCGTCCAGTAATGCGGTCTGCTTATCAACTTTCCTAATTATCTGTATTTCAACAATTAAAAAATAAAAGGTCATCCACACATGGAAAACACTATCGAAAGCACACAGAAAGTACATGTGCTATATAATAATGTATCACAGTTAGTTGTCCTATGCCTACGTATACAAAAATATTTGCAAATAATAAGGCTAGGAATAAAAAATTCTTATAGATTACAAGCATGTTAAAACATGCAAATTGTTACACTCTTCCGTGAACATCCAAAAAGAATACTGGGCAGGCAGTCACTTGTTTTCTAGATCTGTGCTTTTAAAACTTTAATGTATACACAAATCATCTGGGGCTCTTGTGAAAAGTACAGGTTCTGATTTGGCAGCTTGTGTGGAGCCGGACATTCTGCATTTCTAACAAATTCTCAGGTGATATTAATGCTGCTGACCTATGGACCATATTTTGAGTAGCACATGTACAGTGACAAATATTCCAACATCAAAGGGAAAAATCTCTAGAAGGCTACTGTGGGTGTGCTAGTCCGTGCAAGCATCTTATATCCATTATCCAATACTTATTTAAAAACAAAACAAAAGTAAACTAGTTTTGCAGATTAGGAAATGGGCTTAGAGAGGTCAGGTAAATTGCTCAAAATAACCTGGTTAGTAGCTGAAGAACTGGAAGATGATCCCAGGGATGGCTGGCTGTCCTGCCCAGCCTGACCTCTTTCCACTGTACTCTAAATCTTATCATCCAAACAGACCACAAAACACATATGGTATCAGGAAAGATAATACCACCAAACCTTACACTTGATACATAGAATGTAACCACTAAGTAGATGATGATGATGAAGAACAAGATTTTATATAGTAAAACCTCTTTTACTCTTTTTCAAACTTTTTTACTGATCGCTCCCAACAACATATAAACGTGTTATAACTATTACTCATCTTAAAATCAAAACTAAAGAAAATGTTTCCTGGACTACATGTCCCTGTCCCTCCTCCTTGCTACCCACTTCTCTGCTCCTCTTCACAGCAATCTCCTGCAATCTCTCCAGCCTTTGTCGCAAAAACTCCACTACAACTGCTCGTCAAAGCCACAAGGACTTCCAGACAGATGACTTTCATGGCACTTCTCTGTCCTCATCTTAACTTCATTTGCTCAGAAGCATGTGACACGGACATTCTCTTTTCAGGGGCTACACATGCTCTAACTGACCATTAAGGTGCCCACAGCCAAGTCCTCAGACCTCTTCTCATCTCCTTATAATCTATATTCTCTACATGATGTAGAGGTTGACAACTCCCAAATTTCTATCTCCGGCCTTATACTCTCTCGTGCACTTACTGGGTGTATTTAACTACCTATTCAATATTTCCACTTACTGTGTCTAATAGGCACCTCAAACTTAACATACCCAAAACAGAATTTTGGATTTCCTCCTAAACTTGATCCTTCCCAACTTGTTCAATAAATGGCACCACCATTCACTCAATCCAAAAACCTTAGAGTCACCCTTGACACCTTGCTGTCTCTCATACCCGACCACCCAATCTATCAGCAAATTGTTAGGTCCACTCTCAAACAAATCAGAACCCTCTCATCACCCGACCACTATAACCCTAGTCAAAAATACCATCAGCTCTTGCCTGATTTATGACACCGGTCTCTCTGCTCCCACTGCCACATCCCTACGCTCTCTTCTCCACACAGCAGCCAGAATTATCCTTCCCAAACACAGATCAACCATCAGGCCCTGTCTCAAGCCCTCCGGTGGCCTTCTATCACACACAGATAGTGCAAAGTCCTTACCCTAGATCTTGCCCATGGCTACCCCGTGGCTTCAGTTCCTCTCCTCCCTCTGCTCCTACTAGCCTGGTTTCCTTACCATTCCCCACACACTCCCTGTCCCAAGTTCTTCAGCACTCATTCTGTCTCCACAAAATGCTCCTCATCCAGTTAGTGGTTCCTTGACTTCATGCTGGTCTCTGCTCAAATACCACCACTTCAAAAAGACTTCCCTGACCTAAGGATCCCCCCAATTCTCTATACCTTTATCCAGTTTTAATTATGTCTTCTTATCACTATGTGAAATGTGTACTACATCATATGAGTATTTCTTCAGGTTTTTATTTTTGTCTCTGTCCCTACCACAATGTAAACTCCATGTGAGGAAGTCTGTTTTGCTCACCACTGTATCTCCAGCGTCTAGACAATGCCTGGCACACAGAAGGTGCTAAGGACTGTTTGTAGAATGCATGCACACATGCATGAATGAATGCTCTGCTCCACAATCCCTCACAGTAACCTCTCACAGCGTTCCGTGAAGATTATATCCATCAATACATGTGAAAGTACTTAGAATAGTGCCATTGATACTAGGCAATGTGTGGCTTTTAATACCTGACTCATGCCTCACTTACGCTCAAAGATCATTTTTCTTCAGCTAAGCCACAACTGTATAAAGCCCCAATCTTTGAAGTCAACATTCTTCATATTTACACATTTTTAGCTTTGCAGTTTATTAGTCAGAGTAATTGTTACCCTACTAACACCACGAATTTTTGAGATTAAAAGGGAGACATTACACTTTTAGCAATGATAGTTTCTAAGATAGTCTATGAGGCTAATTAAACTCAAGCAAAATGTTTCAGATCAATGCTAAAGTCTTACAGCTATATTTAAATTCAATGAGGTTTGTATTTTAGAGAAAAAACTGATTTTTTAAATGATCTAAAGTCATTTTTTAAATGATCTAAAAGAAATCTAGAGCTTCCTTCCTATATGTCTACAGCACTCACTCACGAGTCTCCACCACGTGAGTCATGAGTTGTTATAGAAATGTTATTTGTTTCTCCACCAGCTAGTAATAATAAGCACATTGGGAACATGGGCCACATTTACCTTGTTTTTTATTTCCCACAACCGTTCTTTGGACATAGATAGACACAGGTGAATGACCTACCTCTCACCAATAAAGAAACCCAAGATGTCCAAAGATGGCACCAAAGGCTTGCATTAATAATTTCTAACTATTAAGAAAGGGGGGAAAGAAATTTAAGAAAACAGGTAATACAAACTTGTTATGAGTTAAGCTATGTGTGTGGTGGATTATATATTCAGAAAACATCAGGGGTTATTCCAATCAGCGCTCTCTCTCCTCTAAGTTGGTTTTGTAGATTATTGGTACAATATTTAGCATATTTCTGATGTTAAGTGGATACAGCCCTTAAGGACGGGAAACATATCTTGCTCATAGTTCTAGCACCGTACCTGCTAAATGCCCAATAAATGTTGGTGAAGTTTATGTCACTGGGTTGTTCACCAAATGAGAGTGATGTACTTTCTATACCATACAGGGACAACGGTCATCAGTGCAATTCAATTGCACTGACGAAGCCTTAGGAGTGGAGCTATACTGGTGACAAAATCAATCTTATATGAACCCTACCCTTGGGGTATCTGATAGCCTTGGTGAGTACTTGCAGTAAATGGCCAACAGTGGTTTCTTGTTACGTGGCTAGATTTGCATTGATTATGACTGTTTTCAGAGCACTCTAAGAAACAGGATTTTTTACTAGAACATTTATCTCATTGAAGCTTGGTCTTGGAGGGATAGTATTTTCCAAGCAAATCTCTCTAATGAGGTTGATATTGTAGGAAGCATTAAAGGCTAACTTTCTGGCTAGGCATGGTGGCTCCCACATACAATATGAACACTTCAGGAGGACAGCTTGAGACTAGACTGGACAGTACAGCAAGACCCTGTCTCTAAAAAACAAAAAATTTAAAAAAAATTAGACAGGTGTGGTGGCATGAACCCATACTCCTAACTACTCAGGAGGTTGAGATAGGAGGATCACCTGAGCCTAGGAGACTGAGGTTACAGTGAGCTATGAACCTTGTCACTGCACTCCAGCCTGTGTAACAGAACAAGATCCTGTCGTTTGAAAGAAAAAAAGCCAGCTTTCAGATAATACGGTAGGATTACCCTTTTAAAAAGCATATGAAAGCCATAGAACACCATCATTATTCCATCATTATTGAAAACTGTGTGTAAATGGAGGCCAAGGTGGGGGAGTGGGGGTGGGTTGGAAGTAGTATAGACATTTAAAATCCATCTATGCTTTGCTAGTCAGAATTCTTCAGTCATGGACCCTCTTTCTAGACATATTTATCAGCATGCTAATGATGGCACTGCAACTTTCTCTAACACATTATCTATGTTAATTTTTTATTGTAACATTTTAATAATCAGAGCCACACAGTTTTGGTTATGAAAAATTCAATTAAAGATGTCATTCAAGCAAGGCAGACTATTGTACTTTACATAAAAGAGTGAAAAACAGTTTTAAGATGTGGGTCTGCTTTCTAAGTGGTCTGTAAGCTGTTGCTGATCACAGGCATAAGGCTCTGAAGTTGTGCTTCTGTAGAACAAGCATCTAATACCAAAGCAAACAAACATCATCTTTGGCATAGAGTAACACACAGCGAATGAGAAGAGAAGAATTGAGTAATTGTTTTTTGTTTGCTTCTGTCTTCCTTTCCATTTTTTACACCCTTCCTTTATACCCTTCCTTTTTCCTTTCTTTACACCCTTCTTGGTAAGATTTGTCCCAATTTGCAAGGTTTTACAGATTGTTATTCATATTACTACAGTCATGCATTTTAGTTTATTAAATTGAAACGGGGAAAAATCACCTCGTTACAATCATGACATAGAAAAATAAAACAAAAATAAATACAAAGAAATGATACATTTGCTTAGACAGCTGTAGATCCACCCAACTTCTGCTGAAATAGCCCCAGAAAATATAATGAAATATTCACCACAGTGATAAATATAAGGCATGGTCAGGAACAATAATATTAATGCTATTAATAAATGTTCTTCTGTTTACCTAATACCCCCTTAACATGACCTTGAATCAAACATATTCATAAATCCCCTTCATCTTTAGTATAACTAAATTGTATTGTTTCAGAAAACAAGGGGGGGAAATTGGAGGCAGGAGATTGGAATTGTAAGGGACTTTTGTTTTCATTTTACTAAGAAAAGCAATTTTTACAGTTTCAAGATCTTTTAGTGAACAAAAGCCCTAAATCTTGTTTCTCTCCTCCAAGTAATAAATACTAATTTTATTTACATTTAATAAACCTATCTTCTTGTGAGAGTAAGCTAATAAAAATTATGCTTATATTTTAAAAGAAATAAGAATTTCTTCACTTTTAGAAACTTGGTACTACATTGGGATGTAGTAGGTACCACAAAAAATGAATATATTATATCTGCATTAGTAAAGAAAAAAACTTAATGCAATTTATAGTGCCCTCTATTGAACATGTTCAGGTATACAACCAAAAAGGAAACTGCCACCAAAATTTATCAGAAATACTGTAAGAGTCATTAGAAATGCAGTTTTAAAAATTGACTAATTGCTTTAAAGCATTTCTGAAATAAGGTAGAGTATAACAGTCATTATTAACAGCAGGGATCATTGACATACCTTTTTAAATTAAAAAGCATGAAATTGAGATGTATTTTTACATTTGAATGTTGTGATTTTCCTGTTTTAAGAATTAATTTCTACTTCACATTGTCATTCAAGCAAAAGTAGAGCCATACCAATCTTGGGAGTGCCATGCCAGTAACTGAACACACAAGTTTGACTGTTTGTCCATAATGGATGTACCCATCTCGGACTGTGAATTCTTCTCCTTCTGATTCATCATCATCCACTGCAGCAAGTGGAAAAAGAGATCAAATTATCACCTTTTAGAATTCATGATCTGCTTAGGAAAATACAAAACAATATATCCATATATCTCATTATCAAAAAGAATTTGACAATTTCACACTAAAATCATCAAATGCGTATTTTCATACTCACGGAGATGAATGTAAAATGCTCCCCACTGCTGCGAACTGGCATGGAAATTACCTCCTTCCACATGCAAGTATCTGGTACTAACTGTCTGGGATCGAAGTCGATTAAACAGAGCCACCTTTGTTCCTGAGGCAATGCACACTGCAAAGGAAAAACAACTCTTATGTGGACTGGGGCACAGGGCACAGGAAGATAACTCCACTTGGCAAGTTGTGACTATTCTTGATTACAATTTAGCACGTACCAGGTATGACAAATATTTTAACCTTCCAAGAAAATACAGATACCAAAATAGCTTAATGTCAATAATGTCTTAATAATGTCAAGCTAATGATATCAGATATGTCCATAAAATAAAAATCATTTTAAAACGAGAGCTACACAGTGTGCTTAGTGTAGTACTGATCTTTCTATGAAGAAGAAAAATTATTTTAAAAATAAGAAATGTCCAACAGTAGGAATTTGATTAAATAAATTATAATACCATTCACCCATTTAAATGATGTGTATTCTTGAAAAAAAACATATCTATGTAAGCAGGAAAATATTCTGAAAGTGAAATATGTTCTCTGTCATCAAGAAACTAATATTCGATACAAATACAAAGTTAAAGATGTTAAATAAAACCCTGTAATTTGGACTGTAATTAGCCCAAATACAAGATTAAATGTCTCCTGGTGCAGGAGAGTACACCACCACCTATGAAGTAGGCCTTGCCTTTCAGCAACAAAAAAACCACCAAAGAATGGCAACTTTAAATCTGATCAAGCTTCTAGATTAACTACTGACAAAGACCCTCTCCTTCACCAAACTTTTGGTGTTTGTCCTTGGGTCCTGTCATTAGTCTACTTAGCCCAGTTGTAGCAAGAATCCTACTAAGTCATCCCCTCATCCTTGACATACAATCGCCTTGGCCTGCCTTTAGCTGGAGTCCTGTTACGTGGGATTAGCAAGAATCCCCCTACCTGTGATGCCTCCTCTTAGTAATTTTCCATCCATTGACCCCCTCACTCTGCTCCTTGGCTATAAATCCCCACTTGTCTTTGTTGTATCTCAGAATTGAACTCAGTTCTATATTTAAGTCTCTTTTCCCCTACTGCAATAGCATTAAATGAAATCTGTCTTTCCAACTTTAAGTAGAGTCCAGCTCTATTTCTTTCTAATGCTACCAATTTACAGAAATTACATTAAACTACACTAAACGAATGAAATTAGCAAAATCCGGTATGTGGAACTCTTTAAAGGCCAAATAACTCAAGGCTCTTGAATAAATAAATTGCAGAAGGCACTTTATAGATTAAAGATTATTCAAGGATATATTAATACAATATATATTATAAAATCTGGTAGATTTGAATTCTGATTCGAAAAAATTGATTTTTAAAATGATATTTTAGACAATTTAAATTTGAAAACTGACTGGATATTTGATGATACCAAGAAGTATTTCTTCTTATAGTTGCTTCATATGTTGTTTTTATGTAATCATGGTATTGTGAATATATTAAAAAGAGACTCCATCTTTTAGAGACACATAGACATATTTACAGATGATATTATGTCTGGGATTTGCATCAAACTGAGGGCAGAGAAAAGTGAGGCTAGGGTAGGGGTATAAATGAAGACAAAATAAGATTGGCCTAAAGGTAAAAACACTGCTAATGTTCAAGGATGAACATAAGAGGTTTTGTTTTATTATGCAACTGTCTACTTTGCTGTCTTTGAAATTTTCTATAATATAAAGTAAATGACATTAATTAAGGACTGTGATTAAAATACATCCGATACATAAAAATCCGTGAGTTCATAATACAGCAAAATAAAAAGCAAGCAAATAAAACAAAGCCCCTAAAACCTCACTGGCTACTTTCAAAGAATATTATCATTATTCTACTCATTCTACAAATGAGTAAACAGTCCAGCTAATTCTGTCTTTTCTCACAGACCACCTTTGAAGCAAACAGCCAAGAGAGCAAAGTCACTCTTTGGAGGAAAACTCCAGCTAACAAATGCAGAAGTTATGAATAAAAAATAAGAAAATCACCCATTTGCAGCCCTTAATGAATTGAATTTAAGCAGCCATTACCAATGGCTACAAAAGCATTAGGTTAAAGGTTGCTGCGGAACTTTATGGATGAATTAGAATCATTAGACTAACAATAGGTGAACTTATTATAACCAATCTTAATATGACAAAAAAAGGGATAGCCAGATATATGACTTCTGATCCAATGGAAATGAATGTGTATAGGACCAACTAATTCTAAAAGTCTTTAAGTCCAACCACCAGTTCATGGAAAATATGAGAGAAACATATAATCAGCCAAATGCAGAATATAAAAATTCCACAGGAAAAATGACCTAGTTTCTTCAACAAATACATGACATGGAAGGAAAAAGGTGGGAGAGGGAGAATAGAAGAAACTCTTACAGATTAAAGTGTTTGGACCTTGTTGGGATCCGGATTTGAATAAACCAACTATAAAATAAAACAAAAACAATTGTAACAAGACATTGGTGAGACAATCTGATAAATCTGTACATTAAAGAATTACTATCAACTTTGAAGGTATAATGATGTTTAAAAAGAAAAGTCACGTGTTAGTCACTACTACAGACATTTTGGTTGAAAGGACAGGATTGTTGAGATTTACATTATAATATTCCAGTATTTGGAATAGGGAGAGGTGTTGGTACTGATGGAAATAATGAAACAGAATTGGTTAAACCTGTTGGGAGTAGGTGGATGGTTACATTATACTTCTTTTCCCCGTTTATATAAATTTGCAAGTTTCTATAATAAAAAGCTGAATTTAAAAAAAAAGAAAAATGGGTGTGGAGGTTGAAATGTACAATTTAAACACATAGTATGCATCTTTGGTAGTTTAAAATTAATTTGCTGATGAGACAGTAGGCTCTGCTAGAGCAATCATCTTAAAAATTTTGTTTAGGTTCTCAGGATGGCTTCCAAAGCCCATTTGATATAAAGTGTTTTTCAAAGGGGTGCATTTGACATTCAGGATAGATCAATTCTTTGTGGGAATGGGAACTTTCTTGGGCATTGTAGGACATTTAGTAACATTGGCTGAAGATGTCCAGTGCCGGTAGTATCCCCTCCAGTCATGAGAGTACAGAAGAAAAAAACCTCCCATTTCCTAAATGCTCCTGGGCAGCACTAGGGAACCAATCTGGTTGAGAACCACTTCATTGGATCATTTTCAATTAAAAAAAAAAAAAAAAAAAGACAATAAAGAAGGCCACAAAAATATTAGTAAAGAATGAACTGGCTGTTGAAAAAGCAATTTTCATTTGAAAAATAGTTTGTGTTATTAATTCAAGGTGGGAGTTGGGGACAAGTTAGAAAACTCAAGCATACATACAGTCAGCATTTTTCAATGACTGCTTCTTTTTGGAAGGTTTGGAGATGACCTTTATCCGCTTGCTGAGGAACACACCGATGTCATCACTGTTGCCATAGAACATCTTTACAGACAACATGAAGTGCTTTCTCTTGTCTGAATCAGATATGTATAATGTTTTGGCTGTGCAATAGTTCTGTGAAAGAAAAGAAAAGTTTTATAGCACCAAAACTTTGTTGGTTATGTATCTATAACTCAGAATGGTCATGGTTAGGTTTGATCAGGTTTAAAGGAAATAATTCCAATGCACAGATGATAAAAATTACCAACTGTAAAAATTACTCAAATTGATCTCTGAAGAAAGTACAAAAATCTTCCTTATCAAGTCTGTAAGATACAAACATTGTGATATATTGTACCCTTTCTAAAAGACTGTTTTTAAAGTCTTTTCTTGTTTTATATAGCACTACATCTGCTTCACGGAATTAGCAGTGTTACAGTTATTTTTTAAAATAGAAATTTTACAGTTAAAAAAAGCTACGACTATCTTTCTGCAAAGAAAAGATATAAATAAGGTTATCAGAATTCAATGGGATTATGTAAAAGATTTCAGCAGTGGTCCTTCTTAAAATAGTGCATTGAATATTTTTCTTTACATAGCTGAAAACTAGAGTAACCACTTGTAAGTCTGAGGAAAACAACTGGACTAACTGGATGATTATAAAATATCTAAAACCAGAAAGAGATTACATGAGTATGCTTTAAAGAACTATTTTTAAAATGGTTAACTTTGCCCAATGGGATCATTCATATTGCATCACCAAAAGAACTAAATTTAAAGGTTCTAGAGATAATGTTCAAGGCATTATGTAGTTTACCAGAGTAAAAATTCTGGTAACTGAAAAGACAATTTGAAAGAGTTATAGCACTCAACAAACAGCAAAGACACTTCAAAATGCTATGATTTCAATTACACATGGCAATTCTAAAATCTTTCCTATTCCCCTGATCCCTGTGAATTAGGGAGGGGCCTAAATTATTGACCTCCTTTTCCAGATAGGATAAATGATGCCCAAACACAGTGTAAGTATCTCAAATAACTGAACTATATTTTTTAAAAGATCAACACTCCACTTTAAAATTAGACTAAACAAATTTCTTCAACTACCTCTGCTGTGTGTTCCTTTACAAAAGCAGAGCAAATGCCACTCATTTAGGAAATAGTTAATGAGTTTTATGTTTTAATCTTTAAAATTTTACTCATAGGCAGCCTTAGTAGCAGACAAAAATAGTGCAATGTTTATTTCATTTCTCATGGCAAAGTTAATTAAGCAAATGTAGGTGCCATCTTGAATATTCTACACTCAGTTAAGTTTTTAAAATTCAGAAGTTTGGTAAAAGCTTCAAGAGGCTTTGCTCTGCAGAAGGCAAAATAAGATAAAATTATTAATAATAGTAATAAGAAAAATAAAAACAACAGTACTTTGCAGTCACATAGCTTCTTTCACCCAAGGATCTCCAAAGCACTCAGAGATGGCATCTGTGAGCTGCTGTGTCCATGGGTCCGCCATACATTTTAAAATGACAGCACTGAAGGTCAAATTAAGCCTAAACAATGGAATTGTTCTGCAACATAAGATGAGGTCTATGAAAATGGGTATCAATGTACTAAAGATGACAGTAACAGGAAGCACAAATGAAATGTGCATCTAAATGAAGGGAATTACATTCTAATGGGAAATCTTAAAAATGTTGAGATTGCTTAATTTTTAGTGTTAAAATTAATGGATATAATCTATATCAGGAAAGAGAAAATACTGAAATGTAGCATAAATGGTAAGACACATAGGCAAACAGGTAAAGAAAAAGGGTCAGAGAAGGTGGGATCCTAAGACCTACACACAAAGGACTTCATTTTATTCAGAAAAAACAAACATGCACATCTCTTTGGAAAGAAAGGAAATATAACCCTAATTACAATGAGTAGTTTGAATCCACAAAAATCATACCTGAGATAACTTTATTGGAACTATTATTATTATTATTTTTTTTTTTGAGACAGAGTCTCACTGTGTTGCCTGGGCTAGAGTGCCGTGGCGTCCTAGCTCACAGCAACCTCAAACTCCTGGGCTCAAGCGATCCTCCTGCCTCAGCCTCCCGAGTAGCTGGAACTACAGGCATGCGCCACCATGTCCGGCTAATGTTTTCTATATATTTTTTAGTTGTCCGATTAATTTCTTTCTATTTTTAGTAGAGACGGGGTCTCGCTCTTGCTCAGGATGGTTTCAAACTCCTGAGCTCAAACAATCCGCCTGCCTCAGCCTCCCAGAGTGCTAGGATTATAAGCGTGAGCCACCGCGCCTGGCCGGAACTATTATTTTTAAAAAACTGTAAGGCCAGTGACCAAAAACAATTCAAATTCCATAAGAAAAAAAGGAAAAAGTCACTCTTAGAAAATAAGCAAATAAAAGCTAAAATTACATTTGCAATACTAAAAAGCTAAATTAGTTAACAGAATTCTAGAAGAGAAAATGGCATAAAATAATCTCTCTAAAAACAACTCTTTGAAAATCTTTAGGCAATAAAAGCATTGCCCTGAAACAAAGAAATATCAAATCTAATGCTGCAAAAATAATATTGTAGAAATACTTGAATTATAAAAACAAAACCCTAGCAAGAATATGCAATTTTTTTAAATAAGAAAAACACAAATGTGTTAATTAGGGAAGTATTCCTTGTTGCATAGTTTACCTAGCTGCAACTATATAAAATGTAAAATTAAGGAAAAGACTATTTAACAAATTTAAAATAGCATTAAATAAAATCTCAGATCTAAAATATTACCAACATACAGTCAAATGTCATGACCATAAATTTAAAGGGCTACATATACTAGAATTTTGTTGTAATAAATATTTAAAATAAATACAAACACCAAATAATCCAAAATAAATAGTCCTTATTTTTTAATAATGACTAATTATACCTAATTCAATAAATAGACTACTGAAAGAAAATAACGTTTCCTTACACGAATGAAGGGTAAGTGAGGCAGATAGGAGCAAAATGCCTTATAGAAGCTCAGCATCTCACTGCTCGGGACATCTTTGCCTACCTGGCCCTATACCATGTTCTTGTATCTTTATGCTCTGAGCACAAGATTATGTTGTTCTTTTTGCCTGGCATGCCTTCTACTGACTCTCACCAGTCTAGCTTTACATAAACTTCTCTAATAACAATTTTTCATTAAAATTAACTATTAACATATGTGTTTTGCCTTATAGACATTGCACTACCCTATTAGTAGGTGTTTTAAATACTAGTTAAAAGCTTGAGTTTTCAGATATTCTATTCCTCTTCTGCCAATTTCTAGGTCGTAGGCAAAGGGTATAATGATAGAAATTTTTAAAAAGGTATGATACAAGATAGCAGGAAGATCTCCATGCTGAGGCAGCTCCTAAAGGTATAAAACTTGAACATGGCACTACTAAGCTATGATGCTGGGAAAGGCAAGCAGTGATGCTATTGGTTGATTTGTTTGGTATTACCGCACTTAAAAGTTCTGAAAGCTGGAATTTGTTAAAGTAAACAGTCAGGTTCTATTAAACAGTTACATACACTGGTAGCTAGAATCCCTGGCTTCTCACTGCCTATCTGATCCACTCATTCACAGTACTGAATGTCTGGATGTAGAGCTTGCAGGCATGTAACTCTGAGACTTTGTATATAATAAGAAAACAGATGAGACATTGCTAAGATCTATTAGATCAACCCGCCACTTAAATATATTCTTTACTCAAGGGTCATAATTTAGAAATGGTTTTACTGATTTATTTTAAGATGAAAAAATCTTCATTTCAATAAGTATTATCCCAAACCTAATTTAAAATATATAGTCAACAAGTCTTATTGATAAAAACTGATAAAAACTATAAAGCTATAAATAACATACAAATAGCCAAATTTGAAGGAGGTTGACATGGAGGGTTCTTAGTACCCACAATCTGTAAAATTACTAAAATTGAATTTTTTTTTTTTTTAAAGACAGGGTCTCACTCTGTCACCCAGGCTAGTGTGCAATCATAGCTCATTGTAACCATGAATTCCTGGGCCCAAGTGATCCTCCTACCTCAGTCTCCCAAGTAGCTAGGACTACAGGTGCATGCCACCATGCCCAGCTCTATTTTTTTTATAGAGATAGGGTCTTGCTATGTTGCCCAGGCTAATCTCAAATTCCTAGCCTTGAGTGATCCTCCTGGCTCAGCCTTCCAAAGTGCTAGGATTACAGGCAAGAGCCACCACACCCAGGCCTAAAATTGAATTTGAGAGTACAAATTCGCCCCCCTCAACACTATCCTCCAACCCCTACCCCTAGTGCCAAATAAAACAAACATTAAGATGTTCAATAAAGATTTATCAAGTAAGGGAATAGCTTTTTATGCACTATTTTAAAAGACATTCAATGTTCTGATCTCAGTGCAGTCATTAAATAGCCATTTAAAAAAATTTCTGCCACAAAAATGAATGAAAACTACATTCTGGTACCATGGTGCCCCTTAATAGGGAACTAGCAGTCCTAATTTACCTTTCCTTCCAAGTTTAGCTGCTGCATTTCTTGGTCACTATTCCCTATTCCAATAAATGCACATGGTTGAGACTCTTGTTCAGAACAACCATCACGCTCCATTTGTTCTTTTTTTTTCTTCCATCCACTGCCCATAAGATACACACAAGGAGGAGGGCAAAAGAACCTAAAGAATGGGAAAAGAACAAAAACACAAAGCAATTAGATTTAAGAAAGCATTTCCTTTTCTTTTTTCCCTTTTTATTGATTCATAACATTTTACATATTTATAGGACACAAATGGTATTTTTTACATGTATAGAATGTATAATGATCAATTCAGGATATTTGGGGTATTTATCATTTCTATGTATTGGGAACACTTCAAGTTCTCTCTTCTAGCTACTTTGAAATATACTATACATCGTTGCTAACTGTAGTCACGCTATTGTGCTATGGACCATGAGAACTTACAGCTTTTATCTAACAATGTGTTTGTACCCATTGACTAACTGCTCTTCATTCCATTTACTTTTCTTGAACACCATGTATACAAAATCTTACTGAAATGTACTCAGCGCCTAATGAAAAATGTTTGGCAAGGCCTTCTGTAACACAAATAATCATGTGTATTGAGGGGAAAGAATAAAGTAGGAAAGGGGAACTTGAAACGGAGATGACCTGGGGTGGCCACAGAAAGCTTCAAGGAGGGGACTTCCAGTCACGACCTAAAGCCATGTGGACATCTGGGGCCAGGGAACATTTCAGCAGAGGGGAGAGCAAGAGCAAAGGCTTGGATAGGAAGGACTCTGACCAATAGTGAGGAACAACAAACAGACCAGAGTGACTGGAGTGGAGAAGAGGGAGATGAACAGGGGGGAAGCCAGAGGTAACGGGCAAGCAGACCAAGTAGGCCCCAGGGATCACACTGAGCAAGGAGGGAAGCCTCTGCAGTCTTCTCATATGTATTTAAACCAATAGAAAAGAAGAGCAGCTTTCATGCATGTATACTCACACTGAGGTCATGGATATAAAGGTCACAGCCAAGGTGGTGGGCCCAGCTCCAGGTCACTCCAATTTTGGAGGGATGCCTGGATTGGCTGGGCTAGTTTTGGAGTTGGTTCAGTTCAAGTCTATATCAGGGATCTTTCTGGCTTCTAATGCTGGGAGCCACCCAATGCTTGCCATGGCACTGACTCAAATACCTAGACTGGCATACTCTCAGGAGGTTGAGAAGGCATCAGTTTTGGAAACATGTTTCCTGTTAGCATATTACCAAACTCTGATATTAAGACTCCTTACTAAATTGGTATGCCAAGGACAAAATCCAAAGAGCTGTTCTTCAGTATAGTACACGGTGAGCATCCCTTATCCAAAATTCTTGGGACCAGAAGTGTTTTGGATTTCAGATTTTGGAATATCTGCATTTATATTTACCAGTTGAACATCCCAAATCTGAAAATTCAAAATCCAAAATGTTCCAATGAGCTTTTGAGCATCACACTGACACTCAAAATGTTCAGATTTTAGAGCATTTTGGATGTTTGGATTTGAGATGCACAACCTGTATACAAAATGTAGTAGTCAAATCTCAACAAGTTATTAAAAAAAGGTTTTTATTTCACATTTGAAAAATCTAAAGAGAGCTAAAACGATAAAAGAATGAGTAGTGACGGTTTTCTCAAGAGTACTGTGACAAAATGCATGAAACTCACAGGGTATAAACTTAAGACAAGCTGATGAGAAATTCTTTACTCAAAACACTGACTGACCAAGGTTCTACCCCAAAAGTGGTTTTCTAATCATGTAATAAATGTAAGAAAAATGAAGACTTTCCAACAGGCTCTGAGCTAGCCTTGTTTTTTTGTTTTTTTTTTTATGTCAACTCTACAAATTATTCAAAAAAAGTGCGATGCAAGAAAACAGAAAATCTAATGTACTCTAAAAATTGAGGTTATTTCTATCAGGTGATGATGAAATCATATCTTAAAAACATCCCAATACTGTCAACTCCCTAAAATACACCAAATAAATCAAATTTTCATTTCCATACACTTCGGTAATAATACAGTAATCGAACAGAAGATAAGCATATATACAAAAAAGGGAAGAATACAGGCAAAAGAAAGGAAACTAAAGGGAGCGGGTTAAAATCATCCAAATTAACAGAAGAAAAATTAAACTACATCTCTATAATGGTGTGTGAAACCAATGATTTTTTGAATTTGGACCAGTTGGTCAACAGGTACCAAACACTCAGTAAAGAGTTTTACCAATAAGTGGTTAGCTTACAGAGTTTAACAGCTGCTATAAATATATCCTATGAAATAATGTTGCCTTTATTTTCTCATCTTTCTCAGTAGTTCTATCTAAGCAACTATGATAAACAATGCTTTTCTCTGCCACTTGGTGGCAATGTGCACACATTTAAGATTTTATTCATTTCAAAGTTCGAATAACCAATCTTTATTTTCAGAGAATGTTTCAATAATTTTTTCCTCAAATCTTGAGATGAGGTCTGAAAACTACCTTACAAAATTCAAAGGCTTTTTATTCAGCCCAATATATATAGTAAGTTAGGTTAAACAAAATCCAAATTCATATCATTTATATTATCTGACTACCTTTGCAGAATCATTACCCTTAATCACCAATTATTCAATTTAAAAGGAGAATATTTAGAAACTTTTTGCATACTACAATTACTCCAATTAACACAATTCTCAATGTGATTTTGGAATCACAGTGTAATTGTCTAAATGGCTTTACTATTAATTTTCTCAACAGTATCATTATAACTACTGCTTAATTAATTCCTTCTAGAAAGTTGAATCTTATGTCAAATAGCATATTAACATTTTCTCTAGATAAAATAATCCTTTTAAAAGTTTATATTTTAACCTAGGAAGCCCTTCTTTAATGAAAAATTATAACTAACCACTAACAAATGGGATACTAGATGTGTTACACAAATATTAGTTAATATTAGGCATAATAGTTGATATCAAGAACAATTTTAAATTTTAGAATAAAATTTCCTGAGCAAATATTTTTAGCATCATTCACTGGAGTTATTTTATATGCCAAAGGGACACAGCCAAGAAGACTGTGGTCATGTCCCCAGGTAACCTCACACCTTATGTCTTAGCAGCTCCTCAGAAAGGCCCAAACCAGGATCAGTAGGAAGGCAGATCGTCTTCTTTCCACCATGCACTCCACCAACAAGGGACCAGACCTCCTATTTTAACAGCGCTCCCCAACCTTTTTGGCACCAGGGACGGGTTTCATGGAAGACAATGACGGGGGTTGGAGGGAGGACTGGAGTGCCGTTGGTGGGGGTGGGATGCTGGGGGTGGGATGCGGAGCTCACGTGGTGATGCACTGTCCAGTTTCTTAACAGGCCGCTGACCTTAACCAGCCTCAACTGGGGGTTGAGAACAGCAGCAGCAGCCTTTTAACACATTACCTGCCATGAGTTGTATTAAACTCAAGCTAGTTTTGAGCCCTGTGGCCTTGTGAAGCAAAACCCTACAGTTGGTTCATGACAATGTTACTTGCTGATGTTCTTATTGTTGTTACAATTAATATTGACAATTTAGGCCTGGTGGGGTGGCTCATGCCTGTAATCCTAGCACTCTGGGAGGCAGAGGCAGGAGGACTGCTCGAGGTCTGGAGTTCAAGATCAGCTTGAGCAAGAGCGAGACCCCATATCTACCAAAACCAGAAAAAATTAGCCAGGGTGTGGTGGCGCCCACCTGTAATCCCAACTACTTGGGAGGCTGAGGCAGGAGGTTCGCTTCAGCCCAGGAGTTGGAGGATGCAGTGAGCTATGATGACACCCCTGCACTCTAGCCCGGGCGACAGAGTGAGACTCTGTCTCAAAAAAAAAAAAAAAAAAAAAAGACAATTTAAACACATGTATTGCATTGCATATAACTCACCCACAGAAAATAATTTAAAATAACAAATTAGAAAGGATCATTTTGTTTTAATAAAACACCATGGCCCCAGGGGAAAAAATCTTTTTTTCTAGTGTGGCAGTCAATGTGTTAATCCCAAAGGCTCAGCAGAGCTTGCCAGTTGTCCAGAGGGTTGGAGTAGCATTAGCAGTCCCTTACTACTAATACTTTTGTTAAAAAAAAAAAAAAAAAGAAAAGAAAAAAAGAAAATCAAGTAAATTTAACAGGTCTACCCTTTTATTATAAAGTAATGCATGTCTACTTTGGAAATTTTAACAATACAAGTAAGTCAAAATATAGGAAAATAGTTTCTCTGGCCTTGTCATAATTTTTTCTTCATTTTTTTAGAGGCCTTAAAAGCTTAGATTCTTCAAGCTTTTTGTGACTGGAGTTTCAGACCAGCTAGGTCATATCCAATTAATAGAAAAAAAACTGAAAAGAAAAACTACTTCAATAAAAGATAAAGATTAAATTTCCTTTTTTAACTTGATAAGCCTCTGCAGCTCTCTATTCATATATTTTTAACAGTAACTGATAAACAAAAAATCTTATCTGGACTTTAACATAATTTTTTGAATAGTTCTTCCCCTTTTCTTTTTTTTTTTTTTTTTGAGACAGAGCCTCACTCTGTTGCCCTGGCTACAGTGAGTGCCATGGAGTTAGCCTAGCTCACAGCAACCTCAAACTCCTGGGCTCAAGCGATCCTACTGCCTCAGCCTCCCCAGTAACTGGGACTACAGGCATGCGCCACCATGCCCGGCTAATTTTTTCTATATATTTTTAGTTGTCCGATTAATTTCTTTCTATTTTTAGTAGAGACAGGGTCTCGCTCTTGCTCAGGCTGATCTCGAACTCCTGAGCTCAAACAATCCATCTGCCTCGGCCTCCCAGAGAGCTAGGATTACAGGCGTGAGCCACCACGCCCGACTCTTCCCCTTTTCTTATCTCCACCGGGCATGGGTTATCCATCCTAGTATTAAATGACATAGTGACTTTTAAAACTCACAGTAAAGATCCCTTTGTATATAACTTGGCTCCTAATAGGTGATCAGAAATAAGGAATAAATGAATCCAAATGTACTAAAATGCATCTTCAAAAATCCAGAGAAAGAAAAGCAGCCTGCCCAAGTTTGAAGCTATATGATAAACATGTATCTATTCATAATTCAATCAGAGCCAGCCAGTCTCATCTAGCTAATAATAAAAGGATGGTCCTAGGCAAAGTTTACAAAGTTTATACTCAAATATCTTTACTTCCAGTGCCAGGCCTGGTGGCTCACACCTGTAATCCTAGCACTCTGGGAGGCTGATGTGGGAGGATCGCTTGAGCTCCAGAGTTCGAGACCAGCCTGAGCAAGAGCAAGACCCCAAACAGAAAAATGAGCCAGATGAGGTGCTGTGGGCCTGGAGTCCCAGCTACTCGGAGGCTGAGGTAGAAGGATTGCTTAAAGCCAGCAGCTGGAGGTTGCAGTGAGCTTTCATGATGCCACTACACTCTAGCCTGGGTGACACAGCAAGACTCTGCCTAGACTTTAAAAAAACAAAAACAAAAAAACACCTTTACTTCCTCCATCCTCGTTGAGCTCTGCTGCAGATAATACTCAAACAGCAAATGGATTTTTGAAGATGTATTTTACAATTCATTTAGTATTTATTAATAAATTATTTATGAAGAAATGATTTATATACTCATTTAGTCTTTATTTTGATCACCTATTAGGTGCCAGGTAGTGTGCAAAAGGAACTTTACTTGTAGTTCTTAAAGTCACTATGTCATTTAATACTAGGATAGATAACCACCAATTAGGGCAATAAAAAGAATAAGAAATTTGGAATTAGAGCCTCAGGAAATCCAATCCTGGCTCCATAGATTCCTAACTAATGTGAACCTAGGCATGTTTAAGGTCTCTGACATTTGGTTTCCTCACCCGCTGAATGGGGATTATAACATGCCTACTTTATTTTAAGACTACTCTGAGGATTAAAATTTTTAAAATATATATAAAGCATTTCAAAAACAATGTCTAGCTCATGATTGGAGCTGATATGAAAACTGCTTCTACTTCAGATTCACTATGCGGTGCAAAGTTGGCCTTTTAGATTCTTCTCCAGTAGTGAGGGTATTGACTTGTTTTGCTTAGAGAACAAATGACTTGCTATATATACACACACTAAATTTCATTATTAGAAAAAAATTTCTGAATTTCTATTATCAAGTTCATGAAAAAAAAGATGTTATTCTATGTCCAAAACTATAGATTGATACCAACCTCTTCCCATATTAAACCCTAAATCAGTGATTAAGTTTTATTAGTAAGATGAAATAATCAAAAATTTAACAAACCTGAACAACACTTATGAATCCTAAATATTGTTTTCACTTGTTCATATTCTTTAATAGCTTTACTTTTTCAGCTCAGATTTAGTTGGCTTTAAGAAAGTATCCTCTTAATTTTCTTCTAGCATGTAAATTATTGTATACTTACATTTTCCCTTCTCTTCTGCACATGCTAAGGTTTCCTTTATGTCACAAACTTTAAGATTCTACTCATTCCTTCCAACCCAACTCCAAAACCTAACTTTTCATTCCTCCTCCCTTCAGTTTGGTACTTTTCCAGCCAATCCAAAAAAAACTTTGATCTTTTCCCACAAGTCAGCTATCTTTACCTATGAAAACATTAACCAAAATATGCTGTCTGAAAGACAAAGACTCAAGAAACTACTCGAAAGAAAATTTCAGAAACCAAGCAGAAAAACTAACAATAAAAGTCCACAATTATACACGAAAAATGCTGAAATTTATAAGATACCAGGAGAAATTATTTAAAGATCACTTTGTTCTAATTTAATTTTGGCTATTCTACTTTACAGACAATTTTTGTAGTGCCTGCATTCAGGTGCTGTAAGAGTATGAACACAGTTTTGCTGTTTTTTCTTAACCACCACCAGAATAGGCACAGGGACAAGGAAGAGGGGGCCAGGAACTCTTTTCTTTATAATAGCTCCCTCCATAGCTCAATTCAAACTGAGTTCAGGACAGTTTTAGGATCAGGGGTTTGTTTAGCCTTTTTCTTTTTAAAAATGCACTTTTGGGGTCACATGTGTTTATAAAACTACATTTTCCACCAAAAGGAAAGCTTCTTTGTGAACAAGCTACTGTATCGTGGAAATATTCTGGGAACATCATCATGTGGCCCAAATGAGAAACTGTGGATTGTTTCACTTTGTAAGATTAGGGATTTAGCCAGATGATCTTTACTATATTTTCCTTCTGGCTTGAGTATGCCACAATTCACTTTGCCTCTCCCCTCAAAAGACAAATCCTGGTTGTCATTTTGTACGAGGCAAATTAACCTAGTATCAGAAAGCATCATTCGACATGCCTATTAATATATCATTTCCAAATTCACGTGATAACTACAATTAACTATCCACCAGAAAAAAATAATCTTACCTTTTTTCATTTCCATATGACTTCTGTGCAACTTTTGCATGAAGAATAAGTACTGTTTGATCCCCTCGCTCTTTTAAATAATTTCGCATAGCTTCCCTAAAGCCAAATATAAATAATACAATTACAAGGGTGAAATTTTTGATGAAATCTTTCTTTACTACTATGCTCTGTAATGAGAGGAATGCTTATATATTTTAAATAAGCAAATCTAAATTCAAGAATAAAGCAAAAAAAATCCATGAATTTGAAGATTATACAATGGGACGATAAATACTGCTCATTTTCAATTCTATACTTTATTCTTTACAAGAAGAAACTGTCCCTCATTCTTTGGAATATATGATATAACTCAATTAAACCCCACCTACAACTTCAAGAATAACTAGAATCAACGTATACACTGCTAATGTGGCTTTATTTATAAAGTTAATGAAATATAATACTTTTATAGCTTAATAATCTAGTATTTACCCCCCTGTTCCCTAGTTTCAGTATTTTTCATGAATACAAAAGCCACAAGAAATCATTAGGCTATCTAAATTTATTATTACATGATCCTAAACTGACATTCCTATAAGGACTAAGAAAGGCCTAAAATTTACATAAAATATATAATTTTCTAAAGGATGCTACTAAATATATAGTATTTAATAAAGGCTAATTGAAATTAGAGAAAATCCAAATTTTGGAAAAAATACAATGTTAATTCCTTCAAGTACAAACAAACTACTGTAACTACCTGCTTACTAAGCAAATGTTCTATAAAAAGTTCAATATCTTAAATATAATTACGTGTCCAATTATTTTTATATGCAATATTATATATTACAAAGAAAGTAAGCTCTACACAGATCAAACTATAACAATTCTGAATAAGCAGAATCCCAATTTTTGAATTTTTTACACATCACAAAATAAAATGCTATGCTATTATAAATAAAGACAGATGTAAATAATAAGAGGATAACTATACAATAGTAGTAAGTTATTAAATGTGGGAAATTTTAGATTTATAGCACTTACACACTAAGGCCTGGGGCAAATCATTTAACCTTACCCAGCCTGTTTCCAGATCTGGATGGAAACTGGAGATAAAAACACCTCCCTAACACAGGGTGGCCATGGAGATTAAACATTTTGTATTTATTGACTGAAAAAATCTGTTAGCTGCAAGGCAGAGAAGGTAATACCAGGATATAAATAGATTGAGTACTAATCTTTACCACTGAAAAGGACCTCAAAAGTCCACATTTTAATGAAATACAATTACCCAGAGAGGTATGTACAAAAAGCAAGATTAAGGGAAAGCCTATGTGAAGGAAGGGGGTGGGCGATAAAGGACTACATGCTGGGAAACGTTTCTTAGAAGAGCTGAATATGAAAGAGGAGGAGTAGACACAGGAAGTGGGAGGAGGAAAGACTAAGGCTTCCAGGGCTTGGGAGAAGTACAGACAAAGGCGTGAATAACCTTGTACATTTGGGTATAGCAGGATTTGGGTTAAGGGTGTAAGGCAGCCACAACACTAAAACCATAGCGGCTAATGTTTCTTGAGTATTTATTATGTGCCAGGCCCCGAACTAAGCACTTTCAATGCCTTATTTAATTGGATCCTAATAACCCAACAAAGTACTGTTAATACCATCATCTTGGCTGTCTTGCCCAATGTCTTGCAGTGAGTAAATGGCAGTCAGGAATTGAAAGGAATTCTGGAAGAGTCTAAAGTGAACTATGGCGGTGAATAATGTTGACGAGATGGGTAGAGTCAAATTGTGAAGAGCATTCCTTCAAAATTGGACATTTGTACATTAAAATACTAAATATAATAGTTTAAGCTAATTCAAATATCACCCCATAACAGATGATAAAAGTGGTAGCAGGTAATAAAATTTTAGGAAGTCAGGAAAAACTTAAAATGTTTAAAATAAAAAACCCATCCCTTTGCGAAGTGGGACAAGATCACCATTCAATTTTCTCTCAATCCCATTATAGAAAAACTATGGTGTAGAAACTGGATTTTCAATCTAAGCTAAAGGCAAAGAGAGATCTTGGGGGTTTTAAAAATATATCATTAATTTTCCTTTTTTAGTTGGTTAATTCTAGAGAAAGGATTAGAAAGCACAGAGACAAAACCAATTTATAAAAAGGCTGTCTCACTAAGAAGAATGTAACAGAAAATAATAGGGGACAGGAAAAATTTACCCTGTTTTTGGAGAAGTGGGTATTACTAATAGGTTCTGTTGACAAATGACAACCCTGAAGTGCCCCGGGACCTCCAAGTTGAAAGCATTCAATAGGTTTTTGGAAATATCCATTATAGTCCAAGAGAGAGATCTCAGCTGCAAAAGTGAGGTTCACTGGTATGTAACTGGCAAACAGAGTCATGGAGGTGAATGAAATCTCCCAGAAGGAAAATGCAGTGACAGGAGAGTTAATTAGAAAATGCAGAAAAGGAAAGGGAGGTACAATCAAAAGGTGAGATGCAGAAGTCAAGGTCATTTTAATTTGAGCAAAAAGTCTAATAGATGCCAGTTGGGGAAGGGTGAAAGGAGGAGCTGGAAGTCTCTCTTTTATTTGTAAATGAAAGGCTATTGTGATATCTAATGGATAACAAAAAGAGCAGTAAATACTTGGAAATATCTTCGAGGAAACAGAAAAGGAAGCTGACTATAGACAAGTAAAATGACTAAAGATCAAAGGTATCGAAGGATCAGCGAATGTTGGAATCCAAAATTAATGGTGCCAATTCCCACCAACATTCCAAGGGTAGGAACAGGGAGAGTCAGTTCTCAAACATACCGGGTATTAGAGATGTGGCCTGGAAGAGGATGACAATGACAAGGGGTTGGAGGTGATGCTCAGTCAGGTGACTGGACCATAAAGTTCAGGGTCGATAAGAAAACAAAAGTAAATCCAGGATAAAGCCAATATCCTGAACACAAGTGGCACAAAAGTCCCTGGCATAAGACTTGAAAAGCTGCTAGATACTTGAAAAGAAAAATTTTAAGCTGTAAATTTATTTCCCCAAACTAAATTCTACTTACATCTGTAGTCTCTATTATATCATTTAGCAATTACTTGATTATGTTTGTCAGGTTTCATGTTTATTTTTCTTGTCTTCCCAAATAGATTACAAAGTCTTTAAGGGCAAGATTCGTATTTTATATTTCTATCTCTTTTATGACAACTCATGTAAAGCAAGACAAAGTTAGTATTTGATAATACCCGAAGCAGTCACAAATCCTTTTACAAAGAAGATATTAATTATAATCATTAAAAAGCTAAAAGTAAGCAATCACTCTGTGCCAGCACTGTTCTAAGCATGTATTAACATTACCAACAACCTTGAGGGTAACACTGTTATCCACATTTTAGAAACAGGCGAGAGGTTAAATAACTTTCCCAAGACCATACTAAAGAACCAGAATTCAAGCCTAGGCAGTTTGGCTCTTGAGGACAAAATTATACTGTCAGGTATTTTGTAGTGGTTAAGAGCACAGCTTTGGTATCAAACAGACTAGGGTTTGAATCTTAACTTTCACTAAGCCTGAGCCTTCTCACCTATAAAATAAAGGCAGTAATACCTCACACTGTGAAAAAAACTTTAAGTTAGCCCACAAACTGACATATGGTGTCTATAAACTCTAGCTATTACTATTACTTCTCTAGAAAGGGGACTTCAATCTTTTAATAGTTAATAACTACATAGAGTGCAGGGGGAGGGGAAATGGGACTTCCACTGAAGCTTTGAAGAGCAAACTTGAAAATGACCAAGGGTGAATGATCAAGCATCTTATTCAACTTGCAGAGCGTAAGTATTGTGAGCATACTAGGTAAGCTGCATACCTATCCACCTTCCCACTGAAGATTTATTGAGAGCCTACCACATCCTAGGCACTGGGCATTGTGCTGGTTTCCAGAACTGGAAGTAACCGGTCACAATTAAGATCTCATGGTGCTTATGATGAATACAGGGTGACAGCTCCAGTTTTCTTTTTCTTTTCCCTCCTATTTAGAATACAAATTCCTGAAAAAGTAACTAGAGCCTCAAGGTAATCATTAATATTAATAATAATTGTCCTGTAATAATAATTTGCCAAACAGCTTCCTTTGGCATGAAAAATAAACTTTGTTTTATTAAACAGAACATTAAACATTAAAAATGATGTTCTCTGGCTATTAAACCTTGATCATTTACTTTCTGCACCTTAAGGTGTCATTAAAAAAAAAAATAGTATGCTCTAAAGAAACACAATTAAATAGTAAAGCCCACAGAATGATAGCCCATATTCTTTTCATCCAAATGGAGTAGGGTTTTGTCAATAAATAGCATTTCTACCTCAGCACTGTTGACATCCTGGACAAAATCATCTCTGTCGTGAAGACACTGTCCTGTGCACTGTAGAATGTTCATCAGCATCTCTAGTTTTTATCCAGCAGATGCCAAGGGGAGGGGTGGAATGGAGTGTTATCACCTGGGTTAAAATCCACCCGAATAAACAAAAAAGACTCCAATGGTAAGGAGCCACGATCAACCAATATCTTTTTAAGAAGAAAGTGGGGGAAACTTTACTATTGTAAAAACATAATGTAGGTACTGAAGATTCCTTACCGCTAGAATTACTATGTTTCATTATTGAATTGTTAAAAAAATATTAATGACAAAGTTAAAACTCAACCTTTTTGGAATAGTTTCCTTAAAACACAATGTAAATTTTGAAGTATGTTCTTTACTAATTTCATTTAATGATTTCTTACATATTCATTCCAAATGAAAACCAATTAAGAATTCTTTGAAGAACACCACAGAGCAACTATTTCTGAAAGAGTTTTCTTACTCAAAACACAGAAGCTCCCAGGCAGATCATTCTGAGTGTGCCAGTGTGTGTGCACATGTTACAAAGACAACACCATGTTAATAAAATATTCAATTTGAAAAAAAAAGAAGGAAAAAACACAGAAGCTCATATGATTGAAAAGTAGAAGACTGTATTTTTATCAATAATTTTACCAACATGAAATCATGGCAAATGCCATTCTAGCTTAACATGTTTAAACTACCATTACCTTTGTTAATTTTCTCGCTGTGGCTTTATAA